ATATGACATTCACAGATCTAAATAAATCTTTACAATTTTGCATTTTAATTAAAATTAATTTAATGTTATTTTTAAAGAAGTAATAGCTTGTTCAAAAAAAAGAAAAAAAAAACAGAGTCAACATGACAATTTAAAAAATGACAGGGATTAAGAAAGCTGCCAACGATGTGTTTTTATCTCTCGCCACAGCGAAGTAACGTTCATGTTTTGCAATAGGTTGGTTGTATGCCCGTTTGGGATGCATCATGCTGACTGCAAGATTCAACCCAGTCTCATAAAAATACGTACCTCTGTGTAGTCATTTTTTTTGGAAACTGCAGTGATATGTACTTATTGGTACGTATTACGCGTCTTGCAAAAATGTGCCCCCAGGTACGTATTTGCCATGAGACCGGGTAGGCAAGATTGCATGACATCAGCATGAGATGTAGCTGCTCATCTCTAAAATAACATTACAGACACGTTCTACAAGTGGATAATATGCAAAATGAGTTAATCTACTAAAATGTAGGAAAAATGAAGTTTCATCTTTTACAACAATTGTATATAAAAATATCTAATTTATTTATTTGTTTATTTATTGTCTTATTTATTGTTATTTATTTTTCGAAATATGTTTTTCGCTGCCTTGGACAGAAGTTGGGACCATGCCCCCAAATCAGAGCGGTCTGCGAGTGAACTGGAGCGAGTAACATTGTTTGATCGTCTCCAGGACCCAAACTGATTCACCCGGAAAGGCCTCCCAGGCCCGCATTTATGTGGCCAGGGGCTGGAGCACCACAAGCTGTGGGTTGCCAAACTGGGGCAGGGAGACGACGCTTGTGTTGTTGCAAGTGTGAAGAGCAGAACAGCTCTTTTTAATTATTATTTGGCTTACTGTAAGAGTGGCAAACTGCCCCAGGTGCACTGGTCTTTGTGGGAGAAGAGCACTGGGGAGTCATCTCGCTGTGGGGAGAGTGAGGCGCACAGGATCTAAGTCGACAAATTAATAATGACAAATTGGGGGATCTCCAATTCTACTTGGAGTGGAAACTAAATGAGCCAATGCACATTGGCATGCGATAATTGCATCCAGCTCCCACTGATCGCAGCGCGAGTATAAATAGGCAGCAGGTGCAACGCATAAACAGTTTTTTGCTGAGGAGCCGAGCTGGTGACCTGGCCACTCAGCGGTGGTACAGCAGCTGTGGCGACGGGACGTGACATACGTAACCAAGACATTCCCTTTCAGATGGTCACTTTCGACGTCATGTCGATACTGAGGAATTGGGGGTCCCTACCAAAATGCCATGGATGCTGCCCCTTTCAGTGCCCTGTGTGAGCCTCCTGTGGCCCTTTGTTAGAGTGTAGGCCAGGGCTCACACCAGGAAGACCAGTCTCTGTTGCCTCTGCACTACCCACTCAGTGAGATTGGATAACAATAGGAAAAGTACCTGTTCCGCTGGAACAGGAACTTTGCGGAAGCCCCATCCCCCGAAAGGGGTTTCTGGAGGCATTTAAGCATATGGATTAACTCGTTAGGGCCTCTGTACATATGGAAGATTTAGAAGTAGTTGTAACCCATTTGTAGAGATGGCAGAGAACATCTGCCAGGGAAACACGGGCTTAAAGCTATACCATGGAAGAATACACATGTGGGATCAGTACATATGGCATACCCTCGGGTCACTACATATGGCACCCAGCCTCCTACCGGTTCTCATGGATTCATCGATTGAAGGCCTGGTGGAGGGTGATAGAGGAGCTCGACAGGGTCTGAAACTGAACTGTCTGGAGCATAAATATCACAATTTGTAACAAAGCAAGCTGACACTAGCCAGGGCCTCTTGGTGCTTCTACCCGTTTGAGGTGAGAACACAGGAGGATACCAGCTCAGCATGAAGGCTATAAAATCTAGTGAACGTGTTGGGGGTCACCCAGCCCGCAGCTCTACAGATGTCTGTTAGCGAGGCGCCACGAGCCAGCACCCAAGAGGGTTCAACACTTCTAGTAGAGTGAGCTCGCAACTTGAGCGGGCAGGGCACACCCTGTGCCTGATAAGACTATCCAGTGGGCCATCCTCTGCTTGGAGACGGCATTCCCCTCTGCCACCTCCATAACAGACAAAGAGCTGATCTGAGGCCTTAAGCTTTGTGTCCGGTCCACGTACCATCTCAAGGCTCAGATGGGACAGAGAAAAGCTAGGGCTGAGTCTGCCTCCTCCGCGGGCAGCGCTTGCTGTTTTACTACCTGATCACTGAAGGGAGTAGTGGGAACCTTGGGAACATAGCCGGGCCAGGGCCTCAGGGTTACCTGGGAGTCAGCCGGCCCAAACTCTAGGCATGATTTGTCAACCGAAAATGCGTGCAGGTCCCCTACTTTCTTGATGGAGGCCAATGCAACCAGGAGCAGAGTTTTCAATGAAAGAAACTTTAGCTCGAAAGGGCTCTCCTGTAGTGCTCTGAGCACCAGACTCAGGTCCCAAGAGGGTATAGAGGGAGGTCAAGGAGGCTTCCCTATCATCTTACCGTTGACAGGGTCGTGATTCACAGATACTGCAGCAATGCAGACTTTAAGGGTGGAGGGAGACAGCCTTCACTCCAATACTTGCGCTGGGACCACGGCCAGCTGTGTGTCAGCATGTCAGTGCCTAGTGTTCCCTCGGTCAGGGAGGAAAACAGCTGGCAGTGAGAGGTTTCTGGAGAGGCAAACAGGTCTGCCTAAGCCCCTCTAAAACATTTCCAAATGAGCTGGACCATCTGGGGATGGAGTATCTATTCTCCCGGGAGTGCAGCTTGTGACAGCTCATCGGCTGCATGTTTGAGCAGACCAGGAATGTGAACAGCACAAAGTGACCTCAGATGCTTTTGACTCCAAAGGAGGAGATGGCGGGCGAGTTGCGACATGTGATGGGAGGCAAAGGCATACTGCTAGCAACTCGAGGCAGTTGATGTGCCAATGTAGTTGGGGGCTCATTTGAACCACTAATACTGCATGCCCGTTTTACGTGGCCCCCCAGCCGGTGGTGGAGGCATCCGTGTGTACCACATCATCCCTGGAGACCTGCTCTAGGGGCACTCCTGCCCGAAGAAAAGTAAGGTCTGACCACAGGCTAAAGGTTTGGTGGCAGGCCGGTGTGATCTGCTTCCGGTGAGTGCTCCACTTGAGCCCTACTCTTTCAGCGGGACGGGAAAGCATAGCCATCATTTCTGGATCCAATTCAGGCATTGCTACCATCCCAGAGAGGAGCAGCGCAGCCGAATCTTCCTCTCCAGAAAGCTCAAGCTCACCGTCCGATGCAGCGATTGACATCCAGTCGTCGTGAGGAGCCCCAAAGGATACGGCTGGTACACTCCTTTTAGAGGTCCCAGCACGTTCCTTGGGCAGCTCGACTAGTTGCGGAGTACTAGAGGATTGAGGGACCCTGGGAGGTTGGTTCCTCGGAGGGGTAGCCATCATTGTGATCCTCAGACCGCCTGAGATACTGCCTGATGTAGTCCTCCCATGACTTCTACCAGGAAGAGAACTAGATCGAGGCAGATTTAGCTCAAATATTCTTTTAGGGAAACAAGCTCTTTTAACATGCTGAAGCGCACAGGGGACATGGCCGCCTGCAACAGACATGGGGTAGTGCAGCCTGTGCAACCCACTCGACACAGAAAAACGACCACCGCTGTAGCGCTGTTCCACCAACACAAAGAAGCTCCCTTAGAGCATGTTGAACTCATAGAATACATTTGAAGTAGATTGGTCTCTCTGACGAGATCCCCCAATTGATCATATACATCGGTAATTTGGTTCATTTCAAGTTTTTGATTAACCTGTAGATTGGTGTTGCTCAAGCCAGGAACTGTTTCAGATGGTTCAGTCCGATTTGATGAACTGGTTCATCGAGTTTACTAAAAAGAACCAGTTCAAAATAACAATTTGTTTGTGAACATCATTTTATTTGCCTGAGGCTCTGGATTACAGATAATAATAGTGAAAATAATTAGGAGCCACAGGTTTTAATTTTGTATTGATTTTTTGACTCTCAAATCATCAAGGACCATGGTTTCAGCTAAAAACTTCTTTACTATTGCACTGAAGAAAAAACCTACACCTACAACAACATCTTGGATGCAAGCTTTAATTTTTGGGTGAACTGCTGGATTTAGTGTTTTGCTTTAGAACTGGGAATTGTTTTGATATCAATAAGCTGTACTGTAGATATCAGGACTTTGAACGGTGATATCAACAGTCCACTGGTCGTTGGTTAAGTGTTTAGTTTGATGTCAGTTTTATAAAAACAAATAGCTTTTGTTGACAGACTGCATGTAATATTAAGTGAAATGTTTTATTCTCAGCTTAAGATATCTTTTCATATATCCACAAATATGGCTTTCTTAATAATACATATGCTTTAAATAAGAATGCAAATATTTGGAAAACACTTTTTATTTTTATGCCACATTATAGTGATAGATGTGTGATGAAAGTCTCTTATGCAACGCTTTGCGACATGCTGCCTTATAAACATTTCACAATTTGAGGGCTGATGTTGTCTCTTTCTACACTGTCTCTTTCTTTGTTCTCTTATAACTGTACTGTGATGGGATGTACAGTAGTGTATGTTTCATTATGACTAAGTGGATCCATCAGCCTCAGCAGCCCAAAGCTGTGTTACTGGGAGTCTGACAACAGCATTATTTTGCAGGTCATTTTCAATAGAAGTTATTTTTGGATGGAGCATAAAGCCCTCAAAGTCACAGTGTGTTTCCACAGTACAATGAACTCTTAATTGAAGTTGAAATATCAAGGAAAATGTGATTCCTCATGATGGTTTACCAAAGTGTTTTTTGCTTTATTCTGTTATCGCTCAATCTTTTGTACGTTATGCGGAACTGGACTCTTCATGAACACACTTGAGTGTTGATGTGCATGACTGTGCATGAGGTGGGGTTCCTGAGGTTAGATGGGTGGGAGGCATAAGAGCTATATGAGATGCCCACTACGATTTAGAGATCTCTAGAGAGAGACAAAGCAAGCTGTATCTGGTCCAGAGCCTGAGTATATAGTTTAGTCTTGCGCTGTGAGAGTGAGAGTATGTCTGCTGCTGTGACTCTAGCGCTGCTGTTCTTCTTGTCTGTGGCACTGAACGAACAGGTGACCGAGGGCTGCACATGTTTACCAAAACACCCTCAACAGCAGTTCTGCGCGTCTGATATAGGTACGTCAAACACATGCATAGCTAATCAAACACGAACAGGTGCCGTATTCAAATCTGTAGATTGCACGCTGCTTTAAGATGTTACGAGATGTTACATTTCTTGCATTTCAGTTCATTTACATTAGTTCAGTGACTTGAATTATTGAACTACACATTAGGTTTATGGAAAATACGATGATGGAACCTTACATTTTTCTAAATGACAGTATAAGACAATATATGACATTAATTAAATCAGTTTTATTTTTTTCAGTAACAGCTCTTTTCTTGTGTAGTGTCAAATTATTTAAAGGGACAGTTCACACAAAAATGAAAATTCTGTCATAATTTATTCACCCATGTTATTTCATACCTATATGACTTTTTCCATCAAATTAACGTTAACATTAACATTCACATTAACAACAATTTTTGTCACATCTGACTTTTTTACCAATTAGTGATTCGAGCTAAGGTCATTGGAAAGGTGCCCAGCACTCTCCCTCAACTAACTGCATACAAAATTCAAACTATTCAGGTGAGAAAATGTAGGCTACTTGACACATCGTTTCCCAATACAATCTTTTTTAACAAGAAATGTGTGTGTGTGTGTGTATATATATATATATATATATATATACTCTGTTTTTCCAGAGCACCTGGAACCAGCAGCATCAGGCGAATTAGGCCCTTCCTCTGCCTATCTGATGCGCTGAGTGTTTGGCTAGCTTGCAGTGCGGTACATTACCCTGTTGGTGTTTTTTCAATGTATGCTTCAGACACGGGTCACGACGAGGCGTTCCCCATAGCGACCCCTAGAGGACGCAGTGTCTCGTTCCCTAACCTGAGACGTTTTTCCACCTAAGGACCTGTCCAGGACGGCAGTGTTGTTCTTGATTTCTGTGACCGTGTGGAGCCTTGGAACCAACTCTCCCGAGTTCAAAAGGTGTACCTCAGCAGGTATCAGAGAGGCTGTATCTGTGAGGTAATAATCCAAATCATACTTTTACAATAATTCACCATAGTGTAACTTGCTCCGAGTTCAGTGCTGTTGAAATCCAGTGGCTTTCATTTTCACCCAACTAAGTTTTCTGCCATTCTGAATGTTGTCAAACACGTACTCAAACCTTGGCTCAAATCATTTTCAGAATCTTTTATAAAGATATTTAATGCAAAAATAACAATGTTTACTGCATATATGCATATTCTTATGATTAAACTTGCTTTGTAGAGAAGGACCAAACTGTGCAGACCTTAAAAAACAAATAAGCTTCAAGCATCCAGAAGCCTAGAAAAAAAACTTGGCTTTGTAATTTCTACTTGCAGCCCTTTGTATTAGCCTCTGACTGTTATCATTCATTCGTTGTATTTTTTCAAGTATTAAAACAGTTGTTGTTGTGTTATAAGTATAGATATGATTTCAGTCATCTCTCAAACTGTGATCTCTACAGATCTCGCCCTGTACTGGAGCGTCCTGTTTGATCAAGATGTTTCAGAAAAAATGTCTGATGAGAGTCAATAATTCATTCATTCTTGATGATGAAGAGGCTCTTCAGTCTATTTGCCTGCCAGGCAGTGGTGGCTTCTGCAGATGGCGAAAATTTCTTAAGTAACTACAAAAGCTCCTAAAAATGATGCCCTGAAGAACAAGTGCATCAGCCATTCGTCGGTGTGCATTTTTGCCCTTTTGTTCTCCAGAATGCTTAGAACATTTTGAAATGAATTTAAACAATTTAATGAAGCTTTGCAATGCAGTCAGCAAATACATACAAAACACTGTTTTCATGGAGATAGGCAATCAACCATTAAACTATTTTGCATGTAAAAGCGTCTGTGTGTATTTAATGGAAAATTGTAAGCATGTTTATATAAATTTGGATGTTCTTAGTGCCAATGCCTTATGTCAAAAAGCATTCATCTAGTATTGTTTTTTGTTTTTCTATTCTGATGAACATTGAGTTAAAAAAGGACATTTTAAATTTAAAAAACGGCAATAACAAACAGCAACGTTTAAGGTTTATTCCACAGAACCACAGCCACACCAGACAGCAGGAAAAGTCTAAAAAAAAACTGCAATAACAAACAGCAACGTTTAAGGTTTATTCCACAGAACCACAGCCACATCAGACAGCAGGAAATGTCTACTTCACTAGAAACCACAGAAACAGCACATTAGCTTGTTTGCACAATGCAGAAAGCTGATAAAGATTGTAAAACTGCATTACAGAGGCGTTATACTGAAACGCAGTGTGTATACGCTGCATAGAATAGAGGGGGCGCTACTGAGACAGATTGAATCCGCTGAATGACAACAAATAAACTAATGTATTCTTTTAGAAAAAAACATGATCAGATATCAATTTCAATTAATTTCTGCTTGTATTTCTCTTAAAGAAAAGGCAAGACAACAAATTCTGTGCATATAAATAATAATGATCAAAATATCCAAATAGTATAAGCTTATTAAGCATGTATGCCTTAAGCTTCACCCTCAGCTTGTGACAGCTGAAGTGCATCTTGTGAAATGTGCGATTGCATCGCCGATCACTCTTGAGAAACTTAAAGATGAAGTAGGCTATGCAAGGACAAATATCCAAACTTTTTCAGACTACTGCAGCTTGCACTCACGCTATACCCGTTGGTTCGGCTACATCAAAAATAAGTTTCTCAGTTATGAGGAGAATAAGAAACTTGCTCTGATTAGAGTCCTGCACCGGCTCCACGGATTAAAATGTATACTTTTACTCCGATACATTTCCCCGAAGCATATTCGTTACTTACTACAAAATAGTCAGAAGTCAGAAGAACACGGACTGCAGGAAAGCAGGTTTGACGAATCAGTGGTCTGGCATTTGCAAGTTAGACTCCTAAAAAACACCTTTGCTCATCTGCAAACAAGTGCGCGCACAACCGCGGGTGATTTCATTTTCCACTCAAGTCGAGTCTGGGGTCTGCGATATATAGTATATCTGTGATAATATGGTAGGTAGGTAGCTTTTTATTGTCATTCAAATTTACATACAGAATGCACATATGAACGAAATTCCGTTCCACTGGCTCATAAATACTGCACTAAACTAAACACGTACCATAAAATCAGTATAAAAATATATATATAATAGAGTGCACGCACGTGATTTATTAGTCTATTAAAACTCAAAATTCAAGGCATTCTAAATTGTAGACGGCAAAAATGCTTGTGTATGCTTTTTATATTTATATAATTTAATATAGTTAACTTCATCTATATCATACAAAGAGTACCGTTTTTCTGCAGAAATCAGAATGAACACATAATAATAATTTTAAACAAGTTCAGTAACGCAATAAGTGACTTACATTAGACATAATATTGCTTGTTGCTCAATTTTGCCAACGAAAATAGTTCCAAACAAAGATCACAGCAACTCTTACCCTGCGTATGCAAATCTTTTTGACGTCATTCTACCTTCATAGAAGCCTAAAACAGGGTCGAGACCCGGCCCGCGTCTGAACTGTGACGTGAAAATTGGCCCGAAGCCCGGCCCGAGGGGCGTAAAAAAGTCGCTGAAATGCAGGACTCTAGTTCGGGTACATCGGAAATATATGGCAAGCCGTATTAGCTTCAAATATTTCAAGCGTTACTCGTCGTAATTGCATTTTTACTAGTAACAATTCAATTAGAGAGCTCTACAAATAAATTCTTAATAGTAACAATGCCAATTAAAGAGCTCTCTAAATCTATTTTAACTAGTTATAAATGCAATAAGAGAGCTCTCTAATTCAGTTCTTACTAGTAACAATTATGATTATAGAGCTCTCTAATTCAATTCTTACTAGTAAGAAATCTAGTTACAGAGCTCTACAATTGTATTCTTAGTAAAACTTGTATTTATTAGATGCAAAACAGATTTGCGACTACACCCATTTGCCTTTCCAAATCCCGCCTGTGGTGATACACTTCAAAATAAAAGCCCCATAAGCATGAATTGATAGCATTGTCATTGTGTCAGAATAACCGTAAGAGTGAGATGACAGTTTGGAAAGGTTTTGTTTTAATATTTAATTACTTCATTAATTCACATCTTTATATTATTATTAATATTATTATTGTTTCTTTATTTCAGACCCTTAGGTCCATATCACAAAAATGAAAATAAAGAGTAGCCTATAGTCTTGAAAATACTTTACCAGACAAAATATCACCTCATTTTGGTGTTTATTGTGCACTGTAACATGCATGCAGAATTTGAGCTAGTACATACAGTATATAGGCTAATTAATAGGTTAATTGTCACTCTTGACAAAATGTATTTTAAAATTTCTTTCTTTCTTTTTTCTTTCTTTCTTTCTCTCTCTTTTTTTTGGTCAGACATTAGGGGGGAAAAAATTCAATTGCGACATTATTTTGGGGTATTTTTTCGATAAGCTTAATTAGGTGATATTTTGCTGTGTGTGTTTTTGTGAATGCAAGTACCAAACATGTCTCTCGGAGACGCGCAACAGTTCTTTTCCGTCTTTGGAACTATTTGTGTTGGTGAAACAAAAACAGGCAATAGTGTGTCCAAAATGTAACTCACTTGTATTAATTTCTTGGTTGTTGAACTGTAAAATCAACATCACATTCACCATCATGCTCGTGCGCTAATATTCGGAAAACGACACTCTTGCTTGTGTAACATTACTTAACTATATCAGATGTTATAAATATAAAAAACAAATACACATACAGGGATATTTTTGCCCTCATAACTATAGTGGCATTCTAACGGCATTCTAATAGGCTTCATCATGCAGTAAATGCTTCTGTTAACTTAGCAGTGCAGGACCCAGCCTCAGCATTATTGTGTGAGTGGATAATGCGAATAAAGCCCTTGCAAAGTTGAACAAAAACAGGTATTTTACAACCAATAATTAAATATGCATATTGCTGAGAATACATTTATATGCATGTTTTCTGTGCAAGTGTGAATTCACCTTTAAAAATAACTTACAGTAGCTACATAGACTACCCATATTTCTTCTCTGTAAAGCATAATCATTTTATAATGATTTTAATCAATATATAATAATACTTAATAGATCATTAGAGCCTCAGCGCTGCTATTCGTCATTAAAAGCTGCTTGACTGAACAAGCTGCTTGAGTCCCCATTTTCTTTTTTTTAAGATTTTTTTTTGGCATTCTTGGCTGTAGGACAGTATAAGTGAATTTGGGGGAGGGGTGCGGGATGGGACTCAAACTCAGGACACCCGTAGCGCAACGGTGTTATCGACGGACTGCCCACAAGGCTATCGGGACAGACAGTCACCCGTTTTATCAATATGCATGAGGCGCAATTATCATAATGAGGTCGAGCTGAAAAGAGAGCTCTACAGTTCAATCCTTACTAGTAAGAATGCAATTCCACAGCTCTACAGCTACATTCTTAGTAGTAAGAATTACAGTTAGAGAGCTCTCTAATACAATTCTTACTAGTAAAGATTACAATTAGAGAGCTCTCTAATTCAGTTCTTACTAATAACAATTGAATTATACAGTTCTACAGTTCAATCTTTACTAGTAAGAATTCCAATTACAGAGCTCTCTAATTCAATTGTTACTAGTAAGAACTAAATTAGACAGCTCTCTAATTCAATTGTTACTAGTAAGAACTAAATTAGAGAGCTCTCTAATTCAAATACAGAGCTCTGCAATTAAGCATATCTTTAATTTGTTTTTTACTAGTAAAAATTAAATTATAGAGCTCTCTAATAGTAATACTTACTAGTAAAATTTCAATTGTAGAGCCCTGTAATTAAAAATGAATGGAAGTCAATGGAAACATATGACTAGTAAAAATTCATTTGTAGAGCTCTCTAATCATAATTGTTACTAGTAAGAGCTGAATTAGATAGCTCTCTAACTGGCATTGTTACTAGTAAGAATTTAATTGTAGAGCTCTCTAATCGAATTGTTACTAGTAAAAATGCTATTACGACGAGCAACACTGGGATTGTTTTAAGCTAAAACGGCTTGCCATAGTAATAGGTTTCTCAGTTATGAGGAGAATAAGAAACTGGCTCTGATCTAGCACACATAGAACGATTTGACTGAAAATTTATCAGAAGAGATGAAAGAAAAATAGTGGTCATCTACGCAATTCGGAAAAAGAGGCGGCTTTTCTGCATTATGTTTTTTTTTTTTTACTCTTTATACAGCAGTTATTGTTCATTCTAAATGTATTTTTCATGTAGAATAGGTGTTACATAAATACATGAAATGTAGAACATTACAAAAGTGCGGAGTGAAACAGTTTTTATTTCAAATTTTCTTTTATTTAAATTACTTTTTTTAATATGTGCTTTATGAGTACTAATAAACAGCCAATATGCTAGAAATGTGCATGCTAATAAGCTACTAGGTCATAGTGCAAAACAGACCCTATTTTGTGTTAAAACACTTTCATCACTTTCATCAGCGACACACACCAGTTTCTGTTCTGTGCTGATCACAATCGAATCCTTTCATTATAACATACAGAGTGTATACATGACGATGTTAATATATTAATTGCGCAGTGTGAGATTCATTGGTCATAACAGACCCTATTTTGTGTTAAAACACTTTCATCACTTTCATCAGCGACACACACCAGTTTCTGTTCTGTGCTGATCACAATCGAATCCTTTCATTATAACATACAGAGTGTATACATGACGATGTTAATATATTACCTGCGCAGTGTGAGATTCATTGGTCATAACAGAACTTTGTGAGATCGCGATGAACAAAGAGTGACAGTTTTTTAGTGGTTAAAAAAGGGATACTTTTGAGGTCTTGTGCAAATATGACATGGGCTACAAAAAAAACAAACAAACAAAAAAAAAACAGTCTATAGGCTCATATGTATGCACGTTTATTCATTAAAAGAACGTGATCTCAATTAAAACATACGCGATCTTATTCCTAAATGATGGTGATTCTGCTATGTCTATTAAACCTTTGAAAACACAATCACATCGGAATATCGACTATTTGTACTAAGTGTAAATAGCGATAGAGGCTATTTACACTAAGTGAGAATAGCATATTTTCTTAGCGATAAATGCTATTTGCACTAACAAACAAAGTCACAGCTGAGCCGCTGTGCATTTCCAAGCAAACACAGCAGTGTTATTATGAATGAACCTGCGTTTTTAACGAATCCAGTGAGCCCCATTCATAAAGATAATCACTTGCTTCGTTCCTGAATGAATCAGCTGTTCGAACGAATCAATTGAATGAATGATTCAGTGATAAAATCAGTCATTTGCCGCCACCTACTGGCAATTATAATTTCATGTTTAAAATATAATTTCATTTATTTAATTAATTTCAATCTATCAATATTTCTATATTCAAATTTTTATATTTAAAACATTAATCTCATAACATTGTTATGAATTTAAAACATCCATGCCTGGGTTGTTCTGTGCCACCTCTGTAGTGCAAATGAGTTTTTTAAATATTGATTTCTTTTGTTTGGTAACTTACTCGAATTCTACTTGTTCTTATGTTGTTAGAAATTTTGGAAAAGCTCATAAATATAATTTTTTGAATTTGACATAAAGATGACATGCTTTTAATAAAGTTAGAAAAAATGCCATAACAAAGGTAAAAAAAAAAAACAAAAAAAAAACAATGCTCCTGTAAATCACTTTAAAACTGTTGATTATTGACTGAGTAATGTAATTTCATGAAAAAAAGGGTCTTTTTGTTTTTCTTTTTTTTGTGGTGATGGTTGGTTGCTGTGGGGTGTCGACTGAGTAATGTCACAGTCATCTGCTGGAGTGCCCTTAAGAGCCATCAGAGGGCACTGTTTTGGACTTTCTGCTAATTTAACTGGACTGCATTTCCCATGGTTCCCCTCACTCTGCTCCCGTCATCCCCTGCATCCTCATTGTTTCACTGGTTTCAGCTGTGTCTTGTTAGTTTGATTATCCTGCTGGTGTATATATGTTGGTTGTTTTGTGTCATTCTGGCTTTCAGTCTTGCTTTTGCTGTTATGTGTTCATGCCTCGTATTATCTTGGATTATTGTTTGGATCATTAAAAGCTGCACTTGGATCATTTTGTTTCTGGAGTCATCCCGTGACAAGTAATAGTGAAACACCTTTTTTGTAGAACAACACCACTGAAGTCACGTAGACGTCACATACATCACGTGTGGCAGTGAAGTTATTCATTTTCAATTTCGCTAACACACTACAACAGCTACTCAACACTATGAAGAGCCGTACAAGCCATAATTCATTCTGGCGCTCTCACACACTTATATTCTCTTTTCACATACTTGTGAAAGTACATGTTTATATATTATTATTTATCTATATTTAACAAAAATAAAGGCATATAGGCAAAAAAAGAAAAAAATTGAAAGAAGTCACAATAAATGAAAAACTAAATCGAGATGCAACTAATAGCAGTTATCGAAAACCTAACTAAAATGATGATAATAATAATAATTATAATTATAATTAGGCCTATCAAAAATAAATAATTGCTTTGGTAATCATTATGCTCTCCCTCCGTGCAGAGCCGCCGAGTGCAGGACTCTGGTTTAAAGTGCACTGTATAATCAGGAATAACGGACGATCGATGCATTGGAGATTGAGAGGGAAAGCTGCCAATGAACAGTGAACTTCAAAACTTATCTTAGAAGGGAGCATTGAACACTGGAGCGACCCTCAATCGCAGCGCAACTTGTGCAGATTTATGGAGTAAAAAGGCTTGCTTGACAGCTTTATTTTGGCGTATATTTGCATACTTTTACCATCTAACCAGTCTCAACATGCTTTAATTTTGTGTGTCGCTAAAGGTTTGCGTCAATAGGCTTAAATTAAAATGTCATTGGTCTGCGCTCTGGAGATTCTGCTAAACATTAATTGCTAAAACTAAAATCAAAACGCAAACTAGGCTATATAAAAATTAAATAGAAATATGTTCACGAAATAAAAACGAATAAAAAAATAATTAGCCTAAATTAATGAAACTAATAAAAACGAAACTGAATTTTATAGCAAAATTGAAAACCATATTAAAACAAAAACGGCAAAACTATAATAACCTTGGCACAAGCGTGTTTCACTGGAGCGTGAGGAGGGGGATCCGCCAGATGAGGTGCTGGAAAACCCTTCCCAGTCTCCAGAGATGTCAAATCTGCAGGAGCACAACGGAGCTGTCGCTCAAACTCGAGGGAGAAAGTCAAGGATCGCGCCGACGGGCCCCTGTAATCATCCCCACCTTTCACCCCACTAGCGACGGCCCTGGTACTATGCATAATACAGACAGTCCTGGCTCTGCCCATCATCACGTTCATGCAGACGCAGACGTGTTCAGTGAGAGGTGTGTAGCAAAGTTAGGAACGCCATAAATTGGGACAGCCCACGCAGAGACGCCGTGACGTAATCGCACTTCAAATAGAGCTTCGAGGTGCGCCGCAGCTAAAGCAAGCTGTATCTGGTCCAGAGCCTGAGTATATAGTTTAGTCTTGCGCTGTGAGAGTGAGAGTATGTCTGCTGCTGTGACTCTAGCGCTGCTGTTCTTCTTGTCTGTGGCACTGAACGAACAGGTGACCGAGGGCTGCACATGTTTACCAAAACACCCTCAACAGCAGTTCTGCGCGTCTGATATAGGTACGTCAAACACATGCATAGCTAATCAAACACGAACAGGTGCCGTATTCAAATCTGTAGATTGCACGCTGCTTTAAGATGTTATCTTCAGGTCATTTACATTAGTTCAGTGACTTGAATTATTGAACTACACAGTAGGTTTATGGAAAGTACGATGATGGAACCTTACATTTTTCTAAATTATAGTATAAGACTATGTAACATTTATTTAAATCTGTTTTATTTTTTCAGTAATGAGCTCTTTTGTAGCGTCAGAGTTTTAACGCGACAATTCACACAAAAATAAAATTCTGTCATTTATTCACCATGTTATTTCATACCTGTATGACTTTTTCCATGTGTAACACAGGAAGATATTTTGAGAAATGTCTGTGTTTTTCAATGGGCTCCAGTGTTGTTTGGTTCCCAACATTCTTTCAAGTATCTTATTTTGTGTTCAATAGCTCTAACCCTAATCAAACACACCTGAACAAGCTAATCAAGGTCTGAAGGGTTACTAGAAAGCTACAAGCAGGCGAGTTTTAATTAGGGTTGGAGCTGAACTCTGCAGGACTGTGGCTCTCCAGGACCGGCGTTCACCACCCCAGATATACATGTATGTATGAGATGTGTATATCTATCTATCTATCCATGTATCTATGTATATGTGTGTGTATATATATATGCCAAAAATCATTCGGATATTAAGTAAAGATCATGTCCCATGAATATATTTTGTAAATTTCATATCGTAAATATATCAACTTAATTTGATTAGTAATATGCATTGCTAAGGACTTCATTTGGACAACTTTAAAGATGATTTTCTCAATATTTAGATTTTTTTGCACCCTCAGATTCCAGATTTTCAAATAGTTGTATCTCAGCCAAATATTGTCCTATCCTAACAAACCATAAATCAATGGAAAGATTATTGTATACAGATGATGTATAAATCTTAATTTAAAAATATTGACCCTTATGACTGGTTTTGTGGTCCAGGTTCACATTTTTATGTGTTTATTTTTATTTTTAAATCCAGACATTTAGGCAATTAAACAAGAGAATTCAGGTCATCTACACAAGGTCAACTCAAACCTCATGTGGCATCAATCTGGAAAACGGCGAGTATCTGCTGTTAGGTAAAATCATTTACTATCTCTAGGCAGAGTTTGAGTTGAAACCATAGACCAGGGCTGTCCAAACTCGGTCCTGGAGGGCTGGTGTCCAGAAGAGTTTAGCTCCAACCCCAATTAAACACACCTGAACCAGATAATCAAGCTCTTACTAGGCATATTAGAAACTTAAAGGCAGGTGTGTTGAGGCAAGTTGGAGCTAAACTCTGCAGGACACCGGCCCTCCAGGACCGAGTTTGGGCACCCCTGGTTTAGCTCCAGACCCCCCCTGCCATAGACTGTATAAAAACATGGACGTAGTGTCCGTGACGTCAGCCGTAGAGTTCCGAAGAGCCTTTTTGAAGCCCAAAGTAGGCAGAGCGGGCCATCGCCATCTTTGCCACGCGTCACTCCCGGATAATCGATAAGGCGGGAGCAGGTTGCTGAAACCACGCCCACCTAGCTCGATGGCAGTGACAGCAGCGGCAATCCACCTGTCACTCAAGTGGCCACGCCCTTAATTATGCAGAAATTTAAGGCTTAATATAATTTAAATGGATGAGTTATAAAAAAATTCATCCCCCTCACAGTTGTCATGAAGGGCAAAATTAGCTATATAGACCAAAATAATTTTTTGAACCAGGCTGTAAACATGTTTTTTTCTGCTGTAAAGTTGGGCATTTTAACATGGGGAGTCTAGGGGAATGTCTCCCTTTTGCAGCCAGCCTCTAGCGGCCAGTCGATGAATTGCAGTTTAAGTCACTTCCTTGTTGGCTTCATGAGAGAGAGCGTGAGGTTGCCGCTTGGTTGAAACTGAACACCCTGATTCCTGATGCTGGTTGTTAACATCAGTTGAGGCTGAAATATGCTACACAAATTAAATTGACATATTTTACAGAAAATCACATTGTGTATTCAGTATTCAACTTAATTTTTTTTAGATTTCATCCAGTCTGAGAATATCACAGTTTGATAATATTTGAGATGATTTTAGAGCACATATCATTTTCACTTATCATGCATCTCTTAGCAACAAGACAGGTTTCTGCATGAGTTTGTGGTGTTTGGAATGAGTTCAGAGTCTGTTTGTTTGTGTATGACATCCAGTTTTTCCTCTGTAACATTTACAAAGTCAGCATAGCATATTTGTTCGGATTTGATCTGTATTCCAGTCAGATCGATTAAGCCTCACGTTCCTTTTTAATAGCTCAAAAACATACTTAAGAACTTGACACACTTCATTATTAAACAGTAACTGACCAAAGACTAACCCTAAATCCTCAAAGAAAAGCCTAATATTATCCAGGACCTCAAACCTAAAAACAATAATGAATCTCAACAGAACACGAGGGTTCAATAAGTGAGGACATCTCTAGGTACGAAAAACGTTGTGTATATACAGTAAAATGAACTTTAACTGTGTAATTAATTGAGATGCATAAGGAAAAAAATAATATTTGTTTTTTCCACCTAAGGACCTGTCGAGGACGGCAGGGTCATTCTTGATTTATGTGACCGTGTGGAACCTTGGAACCAACTCTCCCGAGTTCAAAAGATGTACCTCAGCATGTATCAGAGAGGCTGTGTCTGTGAGGTAATAATCCAAATCATACTTTTACAATAATTCACCATAGTTTAACTTGCTCCGAGTTCAGTGCTGTTGAAATCCAGTGGCTTTCATTTTCACCCAACTAAGTTTTCTGCCATTCTGAATGTTATCAAACACGTACTCAAACCTTGGCTCAAATCATTTTCAGAATCTTTTATAAAGATGTTTAATGCAAAAATAACAATGTTTACTGCATATATGCATATTCTTATGATTAAACTTGCTTGGTAGAGAAGGACCAAACTGTGCAGACCTTAAAAAACAAATAAGCTTCAAGCATCCAGAAGCCTAGAAAAAAAACTTGGCTTTGTAATTTCTACTTGCAGCCCTTTGTATTAGCCTCTAACTGTTATCATTCATTTATTGTATTTTTTCAAGTATTAAAACAGTTGTTGTGGTGTTATAAGTATAGATATGAATTCAGTCATATCTCAAACTGTGATCTCTACAGATCTCGCCCTGTACTGGAGCGTCCTGTTTGATTGAGATGCTTCAGAAAAAATGTCTGATGAGAGTCAATAATTCATTCATTCTTGATGATGAAGAGGCTCTTCAGTCTATTTGCCTGCCAGGCAGTGGTGGCTTCTGCAGATGGCGAAAATTTCTTAAGTAACTACAAAAGCTCCTAAAAATGATGCCCTGAAGAACAAGTGCATCAGCCATTCGTCGGTGTGCATTTTTGCCCTTTTGTTCTCCAGAATGCTTAGAACATTTTGAAATGAATTTAAACAATTTAATGAAGCTTTGCAATGCAGTCAGCAAATACATACAAAACACTGTTTTCATGGAGATATGCAATCAACCATTAAACTATTTTGCATGTAAAAGCGTCTGTGTGTATTTAATGGAAAATTGTAAGCATTTATATATATTTGGATGTTCTTGGTGCCAATGCCTTATGTCAAAAGCATTCATCTAGTATTGTTTTTTGCTTTTCTGTTCTGATGAACATTGAGTTAAAGGACATTTTAATTAAAAAAAACGGCAATAACAAACCGCAACGTTTAAGGTTTATTCCACAGAACCACAGCCACATCAGACAGCAGGAAAAGTCTACTTCACTAGAAACCACAGAAACAGCATATTAGCTTGTTTGCACAATGCAGAAAGCTGATAAAGATTGTAAAACTGCATTACAGAGGCGTTATATTGAAACGCAGTGTGTATACGCTGCATAGAATAGAGGGGGCGCTACTGAGACAGATTGAATCCGCTGAATGACAACAAATAAACTAATGTATTCTTTTAGAAAAAACATGATCAGAAATCAATTTCTGCTTATTTCACTTAAAAGGCAAAACAACAAATTCTGTGTATATAAATATTTAAAATATCCAAATAGTATAAGCCTGTTTTTTTTCCTTAAAAAAACAAAACTATTTAAATGTATGGATTTAACAGGTGTCAGCAACACACGGAGAACAATCAGGTAAGTAGTTAATTACAACTGGCTTTATTTACTGGTGAGCAGAAGATGATGGCAAAAGCAGGTAAGTAACAACACTTCAGAGAAGAACTTAGCTGGGTAGTAACTAGAGTCCTTTTCCTTTTCAGAAGACGATGGAGCAAAGTGATCGCAGGAGCACAGCATTTCCTAAGTGCGTTGTCTTATCTTAACTACAGATAGGAAGGGGGTATTACACAAACCTCCTAACTTGACTAAAAATCCTAAAAACTGTCTTAACTTTAGGACAACCCCACAGCTGTCCTAACTTCGAACTTATTTGAGAGCTAACGGAAAAACCGCTTACAATTGCGCTGTCCAACAATGGTATTACATTTATTAATAATTGAAAATGAAGAGCGGACATGTTTAATGGTAGAAAGACTCTTGGAGGACCCTGAAGATGTTACATTTTGATGACAAAACACTTAAGTAATTACAGACTGCCGCTCAACATGACATTACAGTTAGCACAGGAGCTGCAACCAGCATTACAGAGACCAACAAAGCGTCACGGAGCACCAGACGCACAGTTGTCGTGTCGCGCCGCGCCGCATCAGCTAAAGTCTGTCTACACTGGAAGCCACAAAGCCAAGTTGAAAATCATTTTAAATTTGTGTCAGCACGTCATAAATAGAACGCGGCATCAGTTTACTGTCGGGGATTTGTCGCGCCGCATCCACAGCATGACTGGCTATAATGAGTCCTATAGTATTTTGTCGCGCCGCTCGCGTCCAGTGTAGACACGGTGTAATGCCTTATGGTTTTTTTGCAAAAGGTGATTTTCAAAGTTAAGTAGCTTCTATTATTGTTTACCTCATCAGCAGCTCAGGCAGTGTTGGTTGCTTGGTAACAGACCTAAGAGTGGATTGTTGAACTTGATGCAATTTAAGATTTCCTAACTAGAGATAAGATATGATTTTGTAAGATAGGATAAGAAGTTAAGATTTGCTTCTGTAATACGAATTTGGGAAAAATCCTAATTTAACATATCATATCTTAAGTTAAGATCTAAGATAAGAAACTTTCTGTAATAAGCCCCCAGGTGATTGCGAATTTAAAACTTTAAATTTGACATTTTTACTAAATTCACTTTTTAAAAGTGTAAATAAGTGTGTTAGGAAACAAAGCCATGAAAGTGTCTCTTTTTAAGTACACTTATGTGGCACTTATGTGGCATTTATTTAATTAATATTATATTACCTGCAATTACAGTTTTTATTTCAAATGTTCAATTACTGTTTAAATATGTGCTTTATGAGTACTAATAAACAGCCAATATGCTAGAAATGTGCATGCTAATAAGCTACTAGTTCATAGTGCAAACTGGTCCCTAAACTATGGAAGCATATAGGTAGCGAAATTCAATTTAAAATGCAATATTCAAAATAGCAATGTATTTCTGTATTTAAATTGACATTTTCCGTTACACATACGTGCAAAGTTTGTTGAAAAAGGAAAATGATATAATTTACATTTGCCATTTCCAACAGTAGTCTTAATATGTAAATTGCATACAAATTTTAACGCTTTATAAGTTGCAAAATTAAAATGTATAGCACAAATTGATTTGATATGTGTAACATGTCCAAGCAGAAATGGTAGCAAAATGATAATTTAAATGCTCTTTGTCCTAAATGCATTTAGACTAACAGCTAGAACACTTAGGATTGCATTTTCATCATGACGCCGTGGGATATTTGTAGCAAAATTCAGTGCGGCTTTGAAAATGCATTCCGAGCTGACCACGCCCACCCTCCGTCACTTATTGCTTCAAGGCAGGGATTGGCGGAAGCGTGTTACGTTTGGATCGTTCGAAACATGGCGGCTGGAGATCTGATAAGATCGTGGAATTCACTGGCAGATGAAGTGGAGAGTGAACAGAGAAATATATGATATGAGGTGTGATTTAAGCACTTACTTTGCTAACTGAGCAATCAGTTGTGTCGATCGTCGCGTACCTTGCCGTGAGCAGAAGCCGTGACCAATGACGTGTGATGAGAAGCGCAACACTTTCGTCGCCCCCCTTCTCGCGCGAGAAGTATGGCGTTCGGACGGATTCTTTAATATGACGTTGCAACACGCACTCGTCTCACTGAACGTGACGTCTGCGTCTGCCACTGTTCTGTCCTTGCACTGTTCTGCACTGTCCTTACTGTTCGTCTGCCTGAACATGTGGTCTGTGTTTGCTGCAAGGGTTTCCAGCACATTCCATACACTTATTTGTGCTTTATTATACCTATTCATTCTCTATTATTGTTTTCACTTATCCTCAATTATGTTTAATTAGCAATTAAGTGCTTTTTACCTTTCTTATGTATAGCTTTTTATTCCAAAAAGTAAATATTTATACAAATGATATAAAAAATTCTGTATGACATTGCTTCTTGTCCACATATCCACAGATACTTATGAAGAAATCATAAAAATAAGTTGTTCTAGCATGTATTCACCACTAGGAGTCTCTAGACCAACACAAAAGAACGCATTTTTAAACATTGCTATATTTTGGGCTAATTTAACTAACATAAACAATATTTGTAATTTTTTATTTTGGAGTTGTAATATTTAGTTTTATAGTTTAATATATAGAATAAAAAGTGTTTTTACGCTCTTTAATTTGTACTGAGATAATTCGGCAGTAGTGGCATATGAATCAATGATATTTTCCTCTTTAATATTTGCAGCAAGAAATAAACATGAATATTTGAATGCATGTTAAAAAAATCTGAACAATTTAATACAAACGAATGTCTCATGAAATCGATCAATCAGAGTTTCAAAAAACGTGGCACTAATGCCGCTGTAGGCTATTTGTACTGAATGCAAACACAATTTTGGCACAGCGGCCAAAAAAACAAACAAACAACAACAAAAAAGTAAAAAAATAAATAAAAATAGTAATAAAAAAATAGTGAGGGGATATTTGAATTATTTGTTAATAAACTCGTGTTTTCTGAGTCAGTGTCACAAAGATGAAGCTGCTGATCCTGACATCTCCTTAACTGGACGCGCATTTAGAGAGAAATTACATAATGAAAGAGTTTTTGTTTTCGATTTGAATTATTTCGTTTTAAATTAGTAATTTAAAGCATTTTATAGATATGTGTATCATGTATATGAGGCAAGTATTCGCTGAGTTTCGGTTCATTTTTGTGAAGAAAAAAAAAAAGTCAGACGCAGATGTCACGTCCATTGAGAGGAATGAATGAAGGGCAAGTAAATTGTGCATTGGCTGACACATATGAGGTGTACTTTATGCACTTTTTGCTGATTGCTAAGCAAACTGAGAGGAGAACTAACGTGTATACGCTCGCCAGCCGTCTGGCCAAAATCGCATAGTATTCAGGCGTCAGACATAAGATATGAGACGTTAGACGTCACGGTCACGTGTCGGAGCTGCTCAAACTGCACGGAGGCGTGGCGGCGACGTATGGGGTGTGATTTAAGCACTTACGTTGCTAACTAAGCAATCAGTCGTGTCGATCGTCGCGTACCTTGCCGTGAGCAGAAGCCGTGACCAATGACGTGTGATAAGAAGCGCGACACTTTCGTCGCCCCCCTTCTCGCGTGAGAAGCTGCCTGAGAAGATACGTGAGAAGCTACATGACGGATGCGCTGTCATCTGCAGTACCTTTTGCCAGTTCTGTGTGTGATTTTGTCAAATGTCTTAAGTGCTATAGATTAGTGTTTTTTTGTTTTGTTTTGTTCTGAGCAAAAAGAAAGAAAAAACCCGTGTGTTATAACATTTTAGCACCTCCAAATCCCAGAATATTCCATAATCTTCAGAATGTTGACGAAAATATGATGAGTAAAATTAAAATTACACTGCAATATTAGCTAATCAATGAACTTACAATGTTATTTAGAAAAAGTGCTTATAACTTGTAAAACAACAACCAGGAACAACCAATTCACAGCTTTCTTGTAAGCACCATATATAAGATAATGGCAGTATAATCCAAATGGAAAGACAACATTTTTATGAGTTTAAGAGTTTTGTCCCCAAGAAAACAAAATCGAAAAATGGCTTAATGCATTAACACAGTTAAATCCAAAGACCAAATTCTAAATTAAAGATGCATTCATAATGTAAGCAATGGACCATGAGTAAACACTTACCCGTGTTTTTGCAGAACTGAGTCTGAAAGACAACTGCCTAAAGGAGGTTGAGAAAGTGTTTTGTCAGAAGACCAAGAAATTTTTTTTTGTACTATATACTACTGTAATGAAATTTGGCCAATGTATTTATGTATGCAATCAGCACTCTACTGTATTATGTTACATACCTATTTGATATTTAGTTCTTTTGTTTTTGAACTTTACTTCTCTTGTAAGATCATCTACTTCATCTACTGTAAGATCACTTACAGTAGTGTAATG